ATGGCGACGGCGGGGGCCACAAAAAAAAAAAAAAAGAGTACATCCGAAATGGTGAAACCCCATTTTCATATCAAACATGCATACATATTTCAATACTCACCAAGTGCAAGGTACGAATAAAATTCCAATACAAAAGTTACGAATGCAGAAAGCACCATCAAAGGGGAAGTTTTTGAAGGCGTAATCATGGGAAAAGGATCCAGCAAAGGGTACCGCAAGACTTTTCAAACAGATACCGAGCAAAGCCGTATTCAAGGGGTTAGGGCCAGGAATGATTTCCCGAAAAACCAGAAATGGAAGATGCTACCGAGCAGAGGAGGTTGTCTGAATTTTGAGCTTAAAAGCGACAGAATAAAGAAGTCCTAGGTTGGTCTGCACAGTCACGATTGCTTATCCCTACACTAACTCAAGTCATCTCAGAATCAAGGTTTTCCTCGACATTCTTTATGGGAGAGGGCTTCTAAAAAAAGACAAAAAAAAAAAAAAAAAAAAAAGGAAAAATAGGGTGTCAAAAGGAACCTCTGCACAAAAAGGAAAAAAAATCAAGACAAAGCTAGCTACAGGAAAAATCAAGATTGTCAAAAAAACGGAGTCAACTTTGCAAGCTCTTCCGTTAAATTTCAAAAACCCATCAAGGGCGTAAGATGACCAAATCATCTCCAGCCATAAGGACAAAGACCACAGCGGCTGCTCACATTTTGAAAAGCAAGTTAAAGAGAGCAGTCATTTTCCACAAATTGGAGACAAAAAACAACTTGAAAATGAAGCGCCTTAGCATGGTACAAGTACAAGTTGTCCTTATAAACAAGGATCTATTTCTTTCTCAAACAAGGAAAGGAAGAGTCTCCTCAAAAATTCTTATTGGAGAGGAGAACCATTGAGGAAATAAGTTTTCAAATTCAAGAGAAGATAAAGTTCAAGAAAAAGAATTCAAATTAACCTCAAGGAATCAAATCATGGTTGAAGCCAAAGCATAAAAGCTTCTTCCAACACTCAAGCCACTCAAGTCTACCACCACAAATGTGGTATTCAAAACTCTTTGTGATGAAATTACAAGTCATATTTCAGTCAACCACGTGGGTAAAACCACTTTACAACAACAAAGTCAGATTCGCCTAATAAGCATCACTACATACGAACTCGAGTCAATAAGTTGATTCAACATCAAATCGGAAGGAACCCCACACGAAGACACGCCAGTCGGGAAGGAATCCCACGAAGAAATCAAGCCAGAAATGAATTCTGCATCAACATCAAACGGTAAGAATCCCGCATAGACATCAGTCGGGAAGGAATCCCGCGAAGAAAAATCAAGCCACAGAAATTGATATTCTTGCATCAACACCCATCAGTCGGGAAGGAATCACCGGACCTAAGAAATCAAGCCAGAAATGGAATCTCATCAACATCAAATCGGGAAGGAATCCCGCATAGACATTCCAGCTCGGGGAAGGAATCCCGCGAAGAAATCAAGCAGAAATGAATTCTGCATCAACACCCAGTCGGGAATGGAATCCCGCGAAAGAAATTCAAGCCAGAAATGAATTCTGGATCAACATCAAATCAGAAGGAATCCCGCATAAGACATCCAGTCGGGGAAGGAATCCCGCGAAGAAATCAAGACCAGAAATGAATTCTGCAATCAACATCAAATCGGGAAAGAATCCCGCATAGACATCCAGTCGGGAAGAGAGTCCCAGCAAAGACATCAAAGCCGGGAAGAAATCCCGCAAAGACATTCAAGCGGGAAGAAATCCCGCAAAGAAAAGAAATCAAGTCGGGAAGGAATCCCGAAGAAATCCCAAATTTGGAAATGAATTTCCACAATCAGCAGTTTTAAGTCGGCATTGAATTTTCGCCTCAACAGCAAGTCGGAAAAATAAATTTTTCGGCACCAAGACGGATAAGGAATTCCGCACTACATCAAGCTCGGAGATGAATTCCTCATCAGCCCCGAGCACGAAGTTCGCATCCTGGAAGGAAACTTACGAAAGACCTGATTCTCCCAATCCCCCGAAGAGCTCTTGGAAACGTAGGCAAGCCACAAAGGCCCGGTCACAACATAAGTTTGATCAAAAATAACATTTTCTTGCCACGATAAATCCATGCATTTGATCATTTTCATTTAAAAAAAAAAAAAAAAAAAAAAAAAAACACGGCGGGGTTCCTCCCTGCCCATTCCTCAAAATTTGCCCGTTCGGACAACCACCGACTCCCATTAAATCATTTTTATGGCGACGGATGCGGGGGCAAACTGTGGAATACTTCAAATTTTGAGGCTCAAAAGCCTGTTGGTTGACTTTCTACAGTTAAATTTGACTGTGCTACAATGGAATTTGCTACAGCAATTAATTGTGCTATCAGTGCATTTGCTACAGTAACTATTGACTCACAAGGCTCAAAGAGCCAATTTTTCCGGACTGCAAAAAGTCCGGCCGGACCGGAGGCCATTTCGGAAGTTCACCGGAAAAAAATATTCAATATGGTACTTGAAACGTCCGGAATTTTACGAGGATCGCGGAAACAAGGTCCCGGAATAATTTTTCGGAGGTCCGAAAAACTCCCAAAAACAGCTCGCCGATAGCGGGGACCACACGGTTGGCCGCACCGGCCACCGCGGCGGCGCCAGCCCACCAAGCGCGGGCGACAGCCACTCGCCAGCCGCGGGCGAGAACCCTCGCCAGCGCGGGACCCTCGCCCAGCGCGGCGGGGACCCTCGCCCAGCGCGGGCGGGTCCCCACCTCGCACCGCGCAGTTTACGGGCGAGGCCCCCTCGCGCCCGCCGCCCGGCGAGCGAGACCCTCGCCCCCGCGGGCGAAACACCTCTCGGCCTCGCGCGGGCGAGGCCCCGCGCCTGGCGCGCGGCGGGACTCTCGGCCCCGCGCGGGCCGAGACCTCCCGCATCCGCGCGACGGGCGAGCCTTCTGCCCCGCCGCGGGCGAGCTCCCGCGTCCGCAGCGAGGCGAGGCCTCTCGCCCCCGCGGGCGAGGCCTCCCCCGCGCAAGCGAGGCCTGTCGCCCCGCCGCAGGTCCTGGCCCCCCTCGCGCCCTGGGCGAGGCCTGCCGCCAGCAACACGCGGGGGCCTTCTTGCCGCCGCGGGCGGGGCCTGTCGCCCACCGACAGGGACGGTAGCTACCGCCAGCCTGGGGCGCATCTCCGGCCTCAATTCTGAGCGGGCTTACCGCCATTGCACGGCGCAGCCACCGCCCGGGGACCCGAAAATGGCTATAAATAGCGCCATCAGGCTGTTTTTGGGCACCTCTTTCTGTATTGGACGGAACGAAAACCAAAACTCTCTCTCCACGCTCGCTTGCGTCTTCTTTACCGGCTTTGCATTTAAAATATTGCAATTATTTGTGATATTTGGTCACTAAAATTAAACAAAAATTAAAATTAATTAATATTACCTAAACGAGGAGCTTAAATCTGGAGTAAAGAAGTGGCCGAACGATTAAATCAGGTACGTTAAATAAATTCCGCCTATTTAAATTTTAGCACTTTCATGCATGCTTTCTCTTCTACTCTCAATCATTCTATAACTGCATAAAAGCAATGCACGTCAACTAAATATCCGCTTAATTCAAAAATCAAACTTTTTTACGGCCAAAAGTTCGTTAAAAATCGACCATTTTTGGCGAAAAACGCCTTAAAATCAAACACTTTCGACTAAAAGTTCATAAAATCAACTTTTTATCGACAAATCGCTTAAAATCGACATTTTTGGCAAAATGCCTTAAAATTCAATCATTTTTCGGGTTTTAAAAACCCGTAAAATCAAACCATTTTAGCACAAAATCGCTTAAAAATCGGACATTTGGCAAATGCCTTAAAATCAATCATTTTCGTGTTTTAAAACCAAAAATCAATTCATTTTAGCGACAAATTCGCTTTTAAAAATCCGACATTTTTTGGCAAAATGCCTTTAAAAATCAAATCATTTTCGTTTAAAAACCGTAAAAATCAACCATTTTAGCGACCAAATCGCTTAAACAATCGACATTTTGGGCCAACAATGCCTTAAAATCAATCATTTTCGGTTAAAAACCGTTAAAATCAACCATTTTAGCGACAAATCGCCTTAAAATCGGAACATTTTGGGCAAAATGCACTAAAATCATATTCGGTTTAAAACCGTAAATCAAAACACCATTTTTGCGGACAAATCGTTTAAAATCGACATTTTTGGCAAAATGCCTCAAAATTCAATCATTTTCGGCTTAAAAACCGTTAAAATCAACCATTTTAGCGACAAAATCGCTTAAAATCGACATTTTTGGCAAAATGCCTTAAAATCAATCTTTTAAGCGACAAATCGTGTTAAATGAACCATTTTGGCACAAATGCCTAAATCAATCAATTTTTGGCAAAATGCTGAAACAAAATGCACAAAAGATACACACACTCATGCACAAAGCAATACACACTCATGCATTAAGCATACCCATTCAAAGCCCTTCAAAGAAGGCCTATCGAACTACGTTTGACTTTGATCTTCCATTCAAACGAAGTACCGTTAGGCACGTTCGGGATTTCACCCCGGGTGGCAAGTCGAAAATCATCAAATCACTCAAACATTTCATTAATCCATCATTCACCTTTGCAAAGCATTCATCCATCGGTTAGTTCATTCAGCATGACATAGTCTCGGGATCCACCTCGGGTTCATAGATTGTGCCTTAAAACATTGGACAGATTAATCTAGTAACTAGGTTAATCTAAAAATGGAGTCACTTTAGGGTTTTTCCGTAGTTTACCCTAAAATAAATTAAACAAGGTTTGGCGACTCACACACTCACGTGCATTTACTTCCCTTTAGTCACATGCATTCATATGCCGGTGATATTTTGGGGGGGGTACCACAGATGTCTTTACGGGATTCATTCCGAACTTTGATGTTGATGCAGAATTCCATTTCTGGCCTTGATTTCTCGCAGGGGATTCCCTTCCACGGCTTTGATGTCTTTCCGAGATTCATTCCCGACTTTGATTTTGATGGGTTGAATCAACTGTATTGACTCGGAGCTCTAGGCGAATCTGACTTTGTTGTTGTAGGTGGTTTTACCACTATGTGGACTGAAATATGACTTGTATCATCACAAAGAGTTTTGAATACCCACATTGTGAGGTTTAACTTGAGTGGCTGGAGTGTTGAAGAAGCTTTTTGCTTTGAGTTTGTGGCTTTGCCCATGTTAATTCTTTAGAGGTTAATTTGATTCCTTTTCTTGAACTTTATCTTCCTCTGAACTTGGAACTTATTTCCTCATGGTCTCCTCTGCCATAAGGAATTTTGAAGTAGACTCTTCCTTCCTTGTTTTTGAGAAATGATCCTTATTTATAAAGGGAACACTTGTTTTAAACTCAAAATTCAGGACCACCTCTCTGGCTGGAGCGCATCTTCCATTCCTGGGTTTTCGGGAGAAAACCATTCTGGCCCCTTAACCTCCTTTTAATCGAACTTTGCCTCGGTACTGTTTGGTACTGTTTGAAGTCTTGCGTACCCTTTTGCTGGATCCTTCCCATGATTACACTTCAAAACTTCCCCTTTGATGGTGCTTCTTAGGATGTCCCCTAGCTTTGACTGATGCAGAGCAAATGAAAGGATGAATGCATTTTTCTTTGCCAATCATCTTATTTTATCATCATTTTTTTTAATTTTTTATTATTTTTTCGATTTATTTTTTTTCGTGCTTTCACAGGAATGGGGGGAAAGAGTATAAACATGATTGGAACGTAAACTAATCCCTTTTTATTGATAAGACAAAATTCGTGTACAAAAGACACTTAGATTTACAAGTTTATAAGAAGACACTTAGAATTTACAAATTTGAATTGAATGAAAACTTGAAAAACTAGACGCTAAAAAGATAGACTCTAGGTGGACTGTGATTGGACTGGGATTGGATTGACTATAGTGACTTTGTTCTTCTCGATGCTTTAAATCGATCAACCAGGTTTGGTTGTTTGGTTTCTTGAAACAATTCCTTTGTTCTTTTGAGGTTTGGTCTCAACCTTCTCAGGACACAAACTTCATTTCATTTCTAAGAAAAGTTCGAAAAGTATGGGACGGAAACGATTTGTTCTAGCAATTTTTTTTTTTCTTTTGCTATTAATCCCCATGGTGTAAGCAAGAGGATTGGTTGATGTTCAGCTTCTGCTCTGGGGATGATGGACCCATCGTTCCAACCATGGTCTTGTAGGCGGTTTTTCAAAGTTCCAGCATGTTCGGTCTTATGCCCATGGTCCTTGATGGTACTCAACAGTATTCATTGGCTTGAAAATTCCGGAGGAGAGGGTTATGGTAATGGCCTTGGCTTCTAAGTGGCTTCAGTAAATTGCTTTCACTGCTTCTCGGAACACTTAAAGGATTGGCATGCCGAGATCATCAATATATATGCCTTCCTTTGGCTGCGATTTGTTCCCAAGTTTCGCCAACACGCAAAGGATCGTGGGATATTACTGGCTATTTCCTTTGTCTCCACTGGACCAGCATGATTCTGCTTCTTTGTATGGAGTCTTCTTGAGTTGACCCAACTGGATGTAAAGTTGACCCAACTGGATTAAGTCTTCCACCTTAGCTGCAGTTGCAATGAGCGATTGGAACGTAGGCAAGTACTGTGTTTGAAGCTGTGACTGGTAGACATGAAGTAAATTCTTGCTTATTATGTCAACTTGTTCCTGTTTCGAGGGTCGGTTGATCATTTGAGCAGCTTTGGCTCTCCACCTCGAAAGGAATGAGGAAAAGGGCTCATTGTTTTTTTTTTTGTTTAGTGGTTTCCAGCTCCCTCCGGGTAACACCCACTTCAATATTATAATGGTACTGCGTGTTGAAAGCATTGCATATGTCCTCCCAATTCTTCATTTTGGAACGATCCAAGCTTACAAACCATCTTTCCAGGTTGACAAACCACCTCAAAGCAGCACCGGTGAGTGATTGTTGAAACAGCTGAGCAAGGAGCTCGCTGTTCAGTCCGAACAGGTTTAGGGCACCCATATACATTTTCAGATGCGTTTTGGGACAAGTGGTTCCGTCAAACTTGTCCATGTTGGGCATTTTGAACTTTGTTGGCAGTCTTGGTTCAGGGAACAAGGACATGGAGTCCATGTCCACTACCTCCTTGTGTGTCTTAAGGGCAGTAATAGACCTTTCCAACAATTCTAGTTTTTCTCTCATTTTTTTCTGCAGCTTCCAGCCTCAAGTAAGGCTAGTTCTGGGAGGGCATGTCATTCCAGGTTTAAAGGGTAGGTTCGTCGGTCAGCACCAGGTCCTTGATTGGAGGGTCAGCATGTCACCCTTCCCCAGCTGAAGCCCCATTTTCCATACCACTACCTAGTTTCAGCTATTAGTGCCAATCCTCTTGGGCAGCTAATGGCCTCATTCATTCTAGCCTCCATTTCTGGCCTCCAGTTGTTTCTATTGAGATTTTGGATTTGTCAGACAGTTGATGCCATTGGTGCAAATCGGGGTTGTTGGACTTGTGCGGTGAGAGCTCAGTTGGGTGGTTTCGAGTACGTGGTCTTTGGAGGGACGGTACCTGTAAAAGGACATTAGTTTCAAAAACGATTTAGACTATCCTATATAAGGTTGTTTCATAGGGTATGTGAAGATAGTGTGAGGGTATGGTAGTGTTGGTTATAGGAAGAATGACTTGACCCTTATTGAGATTAGGGACGGTTTGACCCTGTGTGGATATGGTAATGTTGGTTTGCTAGGGACACCTTAGGATAGACCAAATAGGATGTGATATGTTAAGAGAGTGCTTAGGGCTGGATACTTCAACTTTTCGGAAAGGCCCTACTTTTCGAAAGGCCCTAGGTTCTCAAAAAGTTTTTTTTTTTTGGCCCTTAGGGGCCAAAATGTGAATTTTTGGGCCTTTGAGGCCAACATGTGAGTTTTTGGGCCTCTGGGGCCAAACTAGGTATTTTTGGGCCTCTGGGGCCAAATTGCGAATTTCTGGGCCTCTGTGGCCAAATTGTGAATTTCTGGGCCTCTGGGCCAAATTGTGAATTTATGGGCCTTTGTGGCCAAATTGTGAATTTCTGGGCCTTTGTGGCCAAATTGTGAATTTTGGGTCTTTGGGGCCAAATTGTGAATTTTGGGCCTTTGGGGCCAAGTTGGGAATTTTTGGGCCTTTGGGGCCAAGTTGGGAATTTTTG